CTGCTCCTTTCGCACAAGCCTGGCGAATGCAGGAGTGCTGAGGCAGCAATGGGCAAGGGGATTATCTACCCCGGACTCATGGAACAGGCGGACTTTCTTGACTTCGCCTGACGCACTAGGGAGCGTATACTCATGCTCTCTGAGGTGAAGTGTGGCTCCTGCTGCCTCTCCCCAATCTGTGCCTAAAACTATGTCAAACGGGAGACTCTCTTCTACAAGGAGGGTCAGGGAGTGCAGTACCTTCTCTACCTTGCCATCTTTCTCCAGACGAAAGTAGGCGTGGACCCCCTCAACATACTCTTCGATGCGCATCCTACTGTTGTCTGCGAGGATGCTGACCACAGGCTCTTCTAGTCGTTGGACCTTTAGGTTCAACTTCAACTTCCTCAGCGGTTTACGACTAATATAGCTCCTAGTCGCCCCGCTGTCTATGAGGGCTCCTACTCTAGCTCTAAATATCTCTACATCTGCGAGGATTAGCTGTCCTTTACTATCCTTCTTCATCTTGGCCCAGGCTTGCCTCCTCTCTCTCAGTTCATCGGCTAAGCCTGTGAGGGAAGCGCCTAAAGAGACCCTAACACAAGCGATCTCTGGACAGCTTACTAGACGCTGGCCTACAACCTCTGACATGGAAATATGTGGAGTGGGAGACTCTACTTCGCTGGCACGCTCAGATCCACATACTCCTGAGGTAGGGGCAATTGCAACCCCTACCGGCGACTGTCTTTTGCTGCCCCAGATGCAGCACGGTCCCTATACTTAGGACAAAATTTGATAATGTGGCCCTGGTCCCCGCAGAATACGTATTGAGAACTATTAATGCGTTCGTGCCATACCCTTTGATCTATACCCAGGTCTAACCAAGGTCGGCCTTCAGGCCGGCCTGGATACCACCTTCCTTGTCTGGGAGGTGACCGACTAGAACTCGGACGGTTAGACGGGGGACCTCCCCTTCCTCCCGCTTGGCGGTTGCCATAGCCGCCAACCCCCTGGCCGCCCTGCCCTCGGCCACCCTGCGCCCGACCACTTGGGCCGGACCGTTGTCCTCCTTGCGGCCTCCCTCCAGCCGCGACAGCAGCGTAGGTTCTCCCCTGGCCTGCGCTGTTGTCCTCCTCTAATCCCCACTCGATGTCAGAGTAGGGAACCTCCTCTGCACCACCTTCCTCCATCGTTAAGATCAGACTATCTTTGGCCTTGATTTGGCCTGAGATGGTGCGTCCCTTCCACGTTTTTCCCTTAGACAGATCCTTGTGCCAGAACGTGGTAACTGGCGACGCTTGGGCGGCAAATGCAACTGCCTCCCCGACTAAGTGTATCGTAAGTCATGCCCTGCTGATTCTTCTTCTCGAAGAAGTGTCCCTGAATATTTTCAGGCAGGGAGCGGTAGAAGAGGTTAAGGAGTTGCACATCAGTGACTCCATGCCCAGGGACCTCAATCAGTTCGTCCATAGCGGACTTTAGCGCATGCACACTCTTCCACTGGCGAGTGTGGATCATTTGGAGTTTGTCTGAGGCCTTAAGGCCCCGCGTGACATCAGAAAATCGCTCCCTGAGGGCTTTCAGGAAGTCGGAGAGGGGTGTCAGTGTTGAGTATGTAACCATATCGTTATCACAGTTGGCAGTGCGAGCTAGCGACCTAGCAAAGCTAGTTGCTTCATCTCTAAGGGCCTGGAAGGCCACCAAAGTGTGGTCTTCAGGTGTGAATCCCTGCAGATACAGATAGGAGTGCACATTAGCCTCCCAGTTATCAAAATCTTCACCCTTCTTCCCACTGAAGGGTTCGGGAAATCGGACCTTGACTTTCTCGCAACGTGGTGGGGCCGACTCCTCTTCCTTAAGGGCCGCTAGCTTGGTGCCTTCAATGGCGCCAGTACAAAACTCTCGGGTCCTATTAATCGCAATGTGCACTTCGGTCAGCAGGTGTTTCATCATGTCGCACGCGAAGTCCTTGAACCCCGCGCGTATCGCGTCTATCTTGATGTCTTGACTGCATTCGTACTGCATTTGTTCCCGCTGTGCGACTAATAAAGCCTCTACACTTTGGATCAGCGTATCTAGCTTGGTTGCTAGCTCAGTCTCCGCTCGGATCTTCCCCATCCTAACTTCCGCCGCTCTTAGGTCCTTGTCCGCCCTCTCTGCCGCTTCCAATCTCCTGACCCTTTCTTGGGATAACCGGTATCTCCACGCCATCCGCTGTTCCTCCTCCTTTGCCCCTCTCTTTACTGGATCCCTCTCTGCTTCAATTTGCCTCCTGGGAGCTTCTCTTTCTTCCTCGGGTACAGCCATCTCAGCCTCCTAGTCTTCCCCTAACTTCAAATGTGCGTCCCATTCCTGCGCCCTTTCCGCAATCTCCGCTTCTTTACTTGTGCTTCCTCCTCCTCCTCTCCTCTCTAGCGGTCTTTCTTCTTCTTCTTCCACTTCTTTTTCTTCTTCTTCTTCCGCCTGAATAGCTGCCATCTTCTCCTCCTGCTCCTTCTTCCATCTTTCCATCTCCTCCTCCATCTGCCTCTTCTTTGCTTCCTGCTCCTCCAGCAGCGCCAACATCTTAGCCTGTCTGATTAGTTCCCTCTTCTCCATCTTCTCTTTCTTCTCACGCAGAAGGGCGGCAACTCTCTCCTCCTGCTCTTTGCTGTAGGGGGTGGTAACGGTTCCGGATCTAAGGGTCACCATGTTGACAGCGCACAATTAACAACAATTCCACACCTCAACACTTAGACCGAACAGGTTACTTCTACTTCGGGGATTTGGTTCACTACCCGAACTGAACTCGCGGTTCTATGACCACACACACAGAGTCCTAACACCCTAGACAGTAGTGACAGGGAGTTAGGACTGACTGTCCTTGACAGACTCTATGCCAGCAAGTACCGGGGTGAAGGTACACACTCACGGGGTAAGGGATAGGCCAGGCTTGGGAAGATAGTACCGTTTGTCTTCTTGCTCCAGCTGGGTCAACRCTCCRTCAACGGACTTGGTCAACTTCRCCGGTCAACGCTCCTGGTCAATGCGCTAGGCAGCTCCGGTCAATGCTCAGTCAACGCCCTGGACAGCCCGGTCAACACTGGTCAATGCCTGGTCAACACCCGTGGTCAACCTCGGTCAACATCTGGTCAACTCTCCCGGTCAACCTTCTAACCTCCCAGCTATGGTGGACCTCCGTCTCCTTCACCTCAGCTATGGCTGATCTTGTCTCCCTCTTCGTCACTGTCTTCTTCCTTTCTTCTCTCTGCGTCTCTTCTTTCTCCCTTTTTGATGTTGGTCTTCTTCCCCGAACTCGGCAGCTATGGCTACCGTCCCCCTTCCTCTCTCTTCCTCTCTCTCTCTCTCTCTTACTATCTCTCTCTCTCTCTCTGCCAAGCTCCGGCTATGGCGGCTTCTTCCTTCTTCCTTGTGTGCTGCAGCTCTGCCGGCGTGGACAACGGGTACCTGCTCTGATACCAGTGCAATCAGACTCAACTCTGGACTTGCTCACAACATGCACACTTGAGAACCGATGGCAAAACTGAACTCTTTCAACTCAAAAAACAACAATGAACTTGTCTTAAACTCAATCTTAACAGCTGCACAACTTGCGGCTATGGCCGCCGAACACGGTCTCTACCACCAGCCTCACTCTCTCCCTCACTGTCTCATGCGTGCACGTAYRAGRATCAYCCTGAATGTCCCCACTCAGCACAGCCTCACACACTCTGAACACTTGTYTTCACCAACAGCTGGGCGGCTATGGCCGTCGTCGTCTTCCTCCTGCTGGCTATGGCYGCCGACATCTACCCCACTGGCCCGCTATGGCCGCTGTCTTCTTCAMTGCCCACTTCGTCTCCAGGCACCTGCAGACCTCCATGCACAAGACACCAAGGCAGCTCTTCCGCATGGCTCACAGGCGAATGAATGAATGGCTGGGCGCTGCCTGTTTATTTATACTTCTTCGGAGTTACCCGGACCCTGCCTCCAGACCTGTGGGCCTGGGCCAAAACGTGTGGACCTGTGGGCCTGGGCCAAAACGTGTGGCCCAGGGAAGCTTCCAGACGTTTGGCCTTCTGGGCCAAAACGTGTGGAACTCTCTGCATGCTCCAGAACCTTCCCCACGTGCAGCCCTTACCCAGGTACATGCTGGCTGGACCCCCCCTACAGAACCCTACGGACTTCTGGAACCTACAGACTCTACAGACTTTCGACAGACTCAGTAGAGACTTCTAGAACAGACTTTCTAGGCCTATTGGTAATAGACCTAGCTGCTAATCTATAGACCTAGGGATCGAATCTCACTCAGCACACAGGGTCAATGTACAGGGTTAGGGCACAGGTCTAGGGATCGAATCTCTGTTACTGCAGTACAAGGTCAACTGGGTGAAACCGTTTCATCTGTGGTATATTCATGGAGACTGGTAGGAAAAGGAGAGGTACAGACGGCAGACAAGGGACCCGGTAGCAGCCCTACCGGGGTGTATATAATATATATTAGTTTTTGCTGTATGCCACTGGGACAGTGAAAGAGAAGGGTCCCGACGGCACGCCTGTTGGGTGTATATCAGTTTTGGCTGGGGTAAGTAGAGGGAAAAATAATTTCACAGATATGCAAGGAAAATGAGAGAGAGCGAAATGATAGAATCCCAGAATGAAGGTTTGTGAAGTGGAACCCTTTTTTTTTTCCGCGAGCGCCGAAGGTTAGCGCTAATTTTGCGCTCTTCCGCGTCCCTCCGCCCGCCAACGTTGGGCCAGGCCGAAGGGAACTCGATTCGCGCCAATTGCGCGGTTTTTCGAAGAAACGCTCGTTTGAATCTGGGCGCGAACCACGAGAAGGTGGCACGCCTTCGGGCGTGGCAAAGTAGTCACCATAGCCAGGACAACACGGTCATCATCACGGGAGAAGAGTGGTGGAAGTTCGTAAACCGCGGTAGGCGACCTTAAGTTTTGACAAGGCGGGGAAAAAACAAAGCCCACTCAAGTGCAAGACGGAAGGCAGGAAAGAAAAGGAAGAAGAGAGGGAGAGGAGAGACTAGAGAAGGTATTCCCCACCAAGGAAAAAATAGAACAGGCAGGAGAGACAAAAGAAAGGAACAGCGAAGAGGGGGAGTAGAAGGGCAAAGGCGTAACAAGAGAAGGAAGCAGAGACAAAAGAAAGGAACAGTGAGGAGGAAAAGGCTAAGGGCAAGGGCAAATCAAGGGAAGGGAGTGACCCACACGATACGACAACAAGGAAGACGCAAATTTCGACAAGGACAAGAGTGGCTCTAGCCGAGCCGACAAGCAAGGAAAAACTCAAGAGAGCAACTCGCAGCCACAGAAGCAGGTTTGGGAGTCCTGTCGGAATCGCCATTGCGGAATATCGCCAAGGTGAAATCTACCCCGTCAACACGACCCCAATCTAGAAGGTAAGTAGTGCACTCAGTACCTCTCCTGGTTTGGGAGCATCGATCCAATCCGTCCGACGTTCTCTTCCGAAGATCTCTTCCGCACTCGCATACACTCATTCGCCGAATGAAGAAAGGTCACAAACGATGAAGAATACTACGGAGGCACCCATAAGGTAGCCAAGCCAGCGCCTGTATCAGCGAAAGACGCGTTCCAGTTCCTTTCCCCCATACTAACAACTATACGCCGCTTCCCCCCCCATCACCCCATACCCCCTTCTCGCCACACCCCCTCTCCGACCTCCTTCCTTCCACCAACCCTCCCAAAAGCAGTTGATCCCCCCCTTCCATCTCGACCCCATCCCGATCTGGATCCCAACCCAATCCTGGCCCATCCGGAGTTCGACTTTGCTACGGTCCCGATCCCGACTGTACCCCACCCTCGACCCTGTTTCATTCCCGAACCCGTCCCGAGACCATCCTGACCCCGTTATCATCCCGGTCCAGACCACACCCCGATCCCGACCCCAACCCGACCCTGATTCCTTCCCGACCTTCCCGATCCCGATCTCACCTCATCCCCGATCCCGATCTCACCTCATCCCCGATCCCGATCCCCTTCCCATCCCAACCTTGATCCCGACTATTTCTTATCCAATCCCGGTCCTGTCTCAATCCCGTTCCCGTTCCCACCACGCTTTTGTGCGATTATTCCAACCTTTCAACCTTTCATCGCCGCTTATACACTAACTGTTCAAAGCCCTTCTCATCTCCCGACCCTTTTGCCAAACCTCCTCCAACCCAACACCGGACACCCCATCCCTCAGTCTATTTTTCACCCCGATTCATCCCCCTGGCCAGACACCTTCCTTCCCGCTATCCTTCACGTTTTCTACGCCGCCCCCTAGGCCCAACTCTATCCATCTTTCCCCGTAACACACAAGCCATCCCTTTCATCCTTTATCGTACGCTCCCCCTGATCCGGTTATGTCCGCTCCATACCTCTCACTCCCTGGCAGGTTGGAACTTCACCGCCTCCTGTCCTACCTCTGTCCCTCAGTGGCCCCGATATAATCAAGAATTCCCCCTGCCGCGCCCGATAGTACCCATCCTCGTACTACTCAACCCACTCCGACTCCAACCCCTCCTGTCACCTATGCTGTCCCAATCATAGTCAGGCCTCAGCCAAGACCCAGTACACCTCGGGCTCTGACTTCATCCCACCCCTATCTCGTCGCCTTTCTAATCCAATCGCAAGTCGCCTTTCTAATCCAATCGCAAGACAACCACTCGTCAATTTCCACGCTCGCTTAGGAGCCTCTTACCGATCAGCAATTTCGGAGTTCTCCTTCAACCGATAATTAACCGGTAGTGAACCACACCCAGTCATTCAGGAAAGAGAAGCAAGAGGACGCCAATATCCTGCAAGGAAAGATCCCTTCCCCCAACGTTTAGGCGTCTATAGACCAATCAGTGATCCCGTGAGAGCATAACAGTAAGACTTTAACTGGTGGATCGGTGGCTTCACTGTCGGCTCCAGCAATGGAGGGAATGGGAATTGAGACTCAGAACTGGCTAGCGGTACAGACAAGAACACCACTTGTCAAAACCACCACATGCATAGATCACGGGGGAAATAACAAGGAGGAAGTGGTTATATATGAATGCCCAAAGGAATTGACGTCCAAACAAGAAGAGCTCCACCAAAAACATGCCGTCCTTTTCACGTTCTCCAAAAAAAGCCAGGAATTGGACAGACAGGCCAAATTGAAGTGGATTTGGGAAAAGCTGAAGAGTTTGGAACCAATCTAGGGGCAGGAACCTAAAGTATCGTTCCATCCAAGATCAAGGAATGTGATTATGGTCATGTGCATGGAGGAAACATTAGCGTCTTTCCTGAAAAACAAGTGTTTCACCTGCAACTCGTCAGTGGTCACAATACACCCGTGGAAAAAAGCAACGAATTTTCAACAAACGCCATTCAGATACAGGCAGGAGCTAATTAAAAAACACTTTTGGCTCCAATTTGATAATGTGCCAGAGGGAATGCATGGCAGCATTAACGAGAGAGTGAGAATGGAATTCGGGCGTTTCAAGGAGGCACACTGGATTGTCTCTAACCCGGACTTCCTCACTCCACAGCACAATCAGATGACGGTAGTGTTGGAAACAGGTGACAGCACCTTACCGTTTGTACCTGAGGAATGGTTCTTTTCACAAGAAAATAAAGTCATCAGAATAACGGTGTCCAGCAAAACCAACCCCCTTTGTTTCAAGTGCAGACAAATGGGACACCTGGGGACAGATGCGAATTGCCCGAAGACGAAGGAAAGCACAAAACCCAAAACGCTCAAAACTGCAAATCTGCAGGAAGTGGCGAACAAGAAGGGGTATTGGTACATCCCCGAG